TTAGACATATTTGTTTCATTTATCATATCTAGTAATCATATTCATCTCTTTATTATGCATATAATTTTGATTCATATTATTTCTCTCTATTATTTTCTCTATTTGTTTAAATATTTATTTATTTTGAAGTTGTCATATTAAAAAACATTTTTGTCTCATTTTTTTTCTATTATCTTACTGTTTTGTGTTACTTTACAATTTAGAAAGGCATGTCTGTAAAACATCTAATTTTTTCCAATTTTTTCCTTCTCTTTCTTCTCTGATTCATTTTTTTTCAAAATTGATTTATTAAAGGAATATATTTATCTCATTATTTTCTATCGCTCTCTTTAGCTATATCACAATGAAGTAAGACATGATTATTTTTCCCAATTCTTTCTGTTTTATCCCAAATCGCTATTTTCAAAAATTCATTTTATTTATTTTCTATAGCGTTTTGTCATGTGTTATCTCACTATTAAGTAATGCATATTTGTTTCATTTTTTTTATATACATCCATCATATGCATCTGCGTCTAATGCAATTTTGATTCATAGGAACTATTTTTTTTATTAAGTTTTTTGCAAGACATTTGAAAAATTGCTCAACTTTGTTATTTAGCATTTTCACCACGTTCCAAATTCGTTTAGGTTCGTAAAATACTTTAAAAGAGAGAAAAAAAACTAATATATATCTATATAAAAAAGTTCTTTTTTTATGTCCTGAAACCTTTCGTGATAAGGTTCTTAATGCAAAACTTTTTTAACTCCATGAATTTTTTTTCTCTCCAGTGGTAGTCTTTCAAAAGAAATGTCAAAAGAAACAACGCATCAAAGATATATTATCTTTTCTGGTTCGGTAATTTTTTCTTTGCCATGTCTGTTTGTATTTGCCGCCATCTTCAATGTTCGCCATCTTTTTTCTGTTCTAAGCTTGTGTATATATTTTATTTATAAAAAAATAAAAATGAACTGAAATATTTTTAAAGCGAATAAAAACGCTGCATAATATAAATAAAAAAGAAGAGCTTTTGGATAGGATGATGATTAAAGAAAAAACGACTATATGTTTAAAGTTTTTTTGTTNTCTTGAATATAATTTCAAAAATGTCTTCTAAGTTTTTTTTTTTTTTTTGTATTAAAAAACTAGTTTCTTTTTTTTTCTAAAGAAATGAAATATCCTTTGAAAACAAAATGTTCTTAAAGCTATTCGAAATTTTTAAAAAATGAAATGCATCTCTATTTTATTAGAGAAATTCATAAATTTGTTTTAGATAAAAAAGTTGTTAATGCTCATTTAACTGCTCATTATAGTTGATTTTATTTTTTAAAGTTAATAATTAAAGGCTTTCTTATTTGTTTATAGTAATGAAATTTAAATTTTATAAAATATAAATGCTGAATAAAATTAGCTAGTTATTAACATTTATTTTATTTTTGTGTTAATATACGGAAAGGGATTCGGATTCTGCTAAAAATTTCATATATCATATTCATCTTATAATACATGACCATTTTAAAGAAAATACAACCTTTATTATAAATACAACCATTATAATATTTATCTTATAGATTAAAGGAATGCTAAGTGTTGCCAGAGCCAAGTAGTTTGATTGCAATTTTAACTATTTTCAAGAGATATACGTGATATTGTCTAAGTCCTCAATGTGTTGAATTTTACTAATAATTTAAAACTTGATTGCCGAACCAAATAAATCTAAATAAATACTTAGCGTATAACTAATTATATAACACTACTTAAATTATTATTTAAGACAACCTAAGAGCATGAATTGTTATTTAGAGGACTATATGTGTTGCCAATTTAGGTAGAGAAATACCCAAGTTTTTGGTAACATGAGAGAAATAAATGTATCGATGATACGTCAATCCTTTTCATAATTAAGCATTCTGACATGTGACTTATGTGTCCAATAATAAACAAGTTTCAACATTTTTCGGAGGGAAAGAAGTTCTGCTTGACTTAATAATTTTTATGTAATTACACTCTTTTTACCAACTAAATATTACCGCTATTATAAGATTTTTTTTGGGTCTTTCTTTTATTAAATCTATTTAGAATGCGTTTATTAGAATTTACAATTTAGCTTTATAAAATTTGAAAATTTTTTTTTCATGCCCTACATTAAATACAAAATTTTTTTAAAAAAAAAGTTTTAACAGTTACATACTTGAAAATAAATTCTTTCTATCTTTAATTAAGTTTAATTTAATTTTTTTTAAAAAACAGGAATGCAAATTTTTTCCTTTTCTAAATTCCTTAGTTATCGTAATCCTTAATTTTATTCCACTTTTTTCAGCCAAAAACTCCTAAACGAATTATATTTGAGGATTAAAATTAAAAGTTATATGCTTCGCTTGTTATGAAGTTCTTTCTTTTTACCTTTTCTTCGAAAAAATTTTAATTGAAATATCCACAACGTTAATATACTTAGATTTGTTGCAAATTTATATATTTTTTAAATAATGAGTGTCAAAATGTTAAAACGATTATTTTGATTTACAATTGTTTCGTTTTTAAAGATAGACATTTTATAATTCTCTCAATATTTAGAAATCGTTAAGGACACCGATGTTAGTTATTCTAATTTGATGTTCAAATTTGCGTTATATTTTGTTTTGCTGCTCAAAAACTTAGAAACTTTAAATTACGAAGACGTGTTTATAAATACACAGGGGGTTCCATGAAAAACATTTTTATTTTGTTCGAGAATTACTAACTGTTACAGTAAAAAAAAAAAAAAGAAGAAAATACCATGTGGGCCATTCTGCAACTTGCAAAAATGTAATTTGAGTTGCGATAAGGACCTTTTTTATTTATGTAAGTTCTTTTCCGAAATTTCAATTTGTTTCGAAGTTTTTTACAATTTTAAATCCGCTGTTTTCTATAGTTTTTTACTACGTTTTTTGCTTCAAATAATGAATCCATTGTTGTAGGGAATTTTTTCTCTCTCGAAATCTTTATTTTATAAGCTCCCATTTAAATTGATGTCGAAAATGACAAAATGGAGATATAGATTACATGTTTCCACATATAGAACTTAACATTCATATTAAAGTTTTTAAAATTATAAAAATCTTAAAACAATAGGGATAAAAACAATCTTCTATGATAATGATATAAGTCTTGTTAGCGAACAAAATGGCTTCTCTTTTAATTCGTATTATTATTTCACACAAAATTTATTTTCTTTTCTTTTCATGTATTGTTCTTGATTATTTTTAAAATTTAGGAAATCGTACATTTCATTACGATAAAAACATTAACAAAATGTTCTAACATAAAATTATAGCATTTATATACGTTATTAACATGTTCTTTAATTTTTGTAAAAATTATCGACTTTTATGAAAAAATTAATAGAGAGGGACACAGAATTACGGGGGTTGGTAAGCAGAGCGATCAGGGGTGGTACCTCTTATCTTATAAAGTCGAACAATGTATCAATGCTATAATTACGTCACATTTTTGCTTTAAAAAATTGTTTTTGAAACAGGAGCTATTAAATGAAATATTTTTGGATGAGCAAAAAAGTTTAAAGGACCCTGCTTGTATAATAGCTGAACTTTTTTTACACTACTGTTAACATTAACTGAAATTCAGATGAAGCGAATTAATACAATATGGAAGTTGATATCAACTTATAATATTAGTTAACTAACAACTATATTAAAGAAATTTTCCCAATGCTAAATGTGTCTATGAAATATGAAGATTTCATTTCAGAGTAAAAAAATTTCAAGCAGTAAATTGTTTTTATATTAAATTAATTTTAAGATATCTAATAACTACTATTTTTTGTGTGTGTAGTAAAATTTTTTTTTCTTGCATTGAAAAATTATTTTCTTAGTAAAACTCAGGTAATTTTAGTCATATTTCTTAAATTATGATTTAGAATTCGTATACTGCATACCCAAAAATTATTTTTTGGTATATTGAGTTAGTATGATTAGTGTGTTAAATTATTTTATCTTATTTGTAGTGTATAAAGTTATTTTTATTGCATTCAATTATTTTTTCTCATATAAATTTATTATTTTTAGCGTAATAATTTATTATTTATCAGAATATTAAAATATGTTTTTGCACTATACCTTAATGGAATATTCCTTAATATTTATGTTATTTTTAAGAGTATTTAATTATTTTCAGTGTTATAAATTACTTTTAGAGTAAACGTTTATTATTTTTTAGTACACTAAATTATTTTTTAGTACACTAAATTATTTTTTCGTTATTCTTTTCCTATCGTTTATTCAAATATTATACCGTATTGTATCAAATAATTTGTGTTATTTTTAGTGTATTTAATTATTTTGAGAGCGGTAATTATTTTTAGCGTATTTAAATAAGTTTAATGCAATCAATCATTTTTTGTACATTCAAGTTTCTGAGTTAAATTTGTAATTTTAGTTCATTAATAAATAATTTTTTAGAATATCAAGTTATTAAATAAATAATCCCAGGAAACTGAAACCATATGCATCTGATTTGAAAACTTCGTTCGCTTCGAACTTTTTTAAATAGGAAATAACAGTCGACATGCTTCAAGTGTTTGTTTTATTCATATGAATGATGATTCCCTTGTAAACGATATTAGTTCCTTGCCGCGTGGAAATGCATTTTACCTAACTTGGCCCTTCTTGGCAACTGTAGTTTTTCTCGTTCTGTTTTTTTTTTCTCAGTTGCAATGGCTTTTCTAGCCTAGTTCCTCACCTTTATTTTTTTTCATTTTTCGTTGGCAACTTATCATTTTATATTTAAAATCACTTTTCTTTCTTCTCATTCAAGTCTTGCAAGACTTGAAAATGGGTGTCTGCTTTTGAGAGCTTAAAACATGCTGACTCCTATTTCCTATTTATACATTTTTGAAGTGAATGAAGTTTTTAGTCAGATAATATTAAGTTATGCTTTTTCAATTATTATGCTGTGAAGTATTAAGCTATTATATATTAATATATTCCAATAATTTAATTTTAATTTTTTATTTATCTTTTAGGGCTTCTTCCGTCGAAGTATACAAAAGAAAATTGAGTACAGATGCCTGAGAGACGAGAAATGCCTTGTTATACGACTTAACAGAAATCGGTGTCAATTCTGCCGATTCAAGAAATGTCTAGACGTTGGAATGTCTAGGGACTGTGAGTATCCTAAACATGCTATGCGGGGAGGAGTTAAATAATTATTCAATTCAAAAATCTATGAATCTGTCTATTTTTTATGATTATTTTAGCAAATATTAATGTTTATCAAAAATAGAAAATGCTTTATTATATTGAAAGGAGAAAAAAAAATCAAGAAAAGTGAATGAAATATCTAAAAAGAGACCTCGTATGATGTACACTAAAGAACATCGTCATGGTACCGGAAAAATTATAAAGTGACAATGGTATAATAATAATTAAAGTAAGAAGAGTTTAAACATTATGCTACTTGATCAACACTTAAAAGTGTTACAATGAATCTTATATATTTGCTCGACAACTAAATATTTTTTTAAGAAAAGAATTTTTAAAAAGTTTAAACTGTGGGAGCATCAGGTAAAAATTTCAAATTTTGAACTTGACAAACCAATTGCGAACATTAATCATTCAGCTATGGTAGCCTTTTCACGCACAGCACAAATATCAAGAGCAGCTTTAAAAGCCTTAGAACCTTGTTTACAAGCAAAAAGGAGGTGTCAAAAATGCTATTTCTCTCAACTCGAAGTATAATGATCGGAAAATAAACGTAAAATAGCTGCAACAACAACATAGATCCTGTTGTTCATACAGAATCCATGATTTTTTATATCTTCTTTAAATTCTTTTTAAGATATCCTGTTTTGAATAATCTAAAACATAATGATAAAAACATTTATTGACAGGTTCTTCTAAAAAAAAAATTAACAAATAAAAAAAAAACGAAGGGAATTTACTTGTTCACCCATGTTAGATTTAATCATAGTTGGTAAAATATCAAAAACTAATTTCAGAAAAATGCTTTTTACATATCGTATTCTGATATACTGTGTGCAAAAGTTGCATTTAATGTTTCAATTATCTAGTACTTTCTTTTCTCGTCAGAAGACATTTAGCAAGAAAGGAAAGAAAAAAGTTTTAATAGATAATGAACTTTTTAAAAAAAAAATAAAAACTCTTTTTTTTATATTATTTTTTTAATGTTTTAAAACTGAAAAGTTCCTAAAGATGTCAGTATTATTCCCAAACATAGCATATTTAAATTAAAAATATTGGATTAATTTACGAAAACCTCTGTTGCGCAGAAGTAAAACTATTTTTTAGCAAATAATACTCATTTACTTTGAAAAATTGTCCCGAAAAACAGTTCTTTGAGAAGTCGCAACGGCACTTTTACATATGACTTTTACGAAGAAGTAAAATACATCTGTAAAAGTGTTTTTGCTGCGCTTGTAGTTTTAGCACAGTGAAGCTATTTTACTAATGCATTAAAAATTGAGGAGAAAAAAGTGTCACTCGTTTTGACATCACTGGTGTTAAATATTCATTTAATATATTTACTATAACTCTTATTTTTATCTACCTGATTTTCTTAATATCAAACTATTAAGTATTACCAATTTTAAAAAAAAATTTTAAATTAATATTTCTCACCGAATTTTTTTTACAAAAAATCTAGAGTCTTGCAAGACTCTAAAATTCTAAAATTACGAAATTACTTTTATGTATAGTTAGTTCCTTCTTAGTACGATTAACAAAACTTTAATAAGATAAAGTCGAAACAGTATAACAAGTAGAGCGTTGATAATTCTTAAAACTATAAAACGTGTGAGCATATGTGTTATCGACCTTATTTTTATTTGTAGAATTTTATTTGTATAATTTATTTGTAGAATAAACAAAAAGACACTCGCATTAATAGTGTTTCAAGAAACTATGTAAAAAAAAATAATAATCTTAGAATCATCAAGTTTTTGTATGTCATGAAGTTAATGCAATGTCTGATTTTGGTATTTGGGATGCATTTTGGTACACGGAATTTCTAAGATTTACATTATTTATTAGCTTTACTTACTTAGCTTTACTTAAAATTTCCCTTTAATTCTGTTATATAAGATTTTCAATTGAAATAAATTCATTTAAATGAGATCTGCTTTACTGTCAGTTACATCGATTTCAATTATGACATTTGTACGTTTCAATTGATTACATCTCGACATATTTCTCTTAATTTTTCTCTATTTTCTCATTGTTCTGATTACTACTTATTTTTCTCAATCTTCCCTCATAAAACTTTTTTTAATGCAATAATAAAAATTGTTTGTAGGCAAATTTTGAATATTTCATATAGTCAAAAAAAGAATTTATAAATAAAATAAAATAATATTAAGTAAATAAATAAATAAAATAAAATAAATAAATGAAATGAAAAAAGTTTTAAAAAGATAATTGGTGAGATTGAATACAAACTGATTTGAGTACTTAATAGTCATCATTTCAGTGGTGGCGCCATCTAAGAATACAAAACGTATACTAATTCAAAACTTATCTAGACTCCTGATCGCGCAGTAGTTTAACAACAAATTTTTTTTTTTATTTTCTCTAGAAAATATGCTTTAATGTATAACATATGTTTCGTGATGCGTTTAATGTGTAATATGTAAAAATATGTTGAATTAATTATAAATGCATTTAAAGACCTATTTATAGCGAAAATAAACCTTACACAAAATTGTTTTGCTCTGTTATCTATAAAAATTACTTGTTACTTTGCATTTTAGTTTCTTAAAAGATTTTATTTAATTAAATCTATCTAATCCTTTAAACTAGTTTTTTTTTTAGTAAAATGTTCGATGTATTTAACAAAAGGTTAAATGCAATTTTTTTATCACACAAAAAAAAAATTTCATTCTCAAAATATTTTTTTTCCTTTTGCAAATGCATTTTATTTAATCGGAAAAACTGACTCAAAAGTAAACCATTAAACTTGATTCAACCTTAATAAAAGTTTAAATTATTAACGACTTCAGTTAGTATTGTTAAATAAAATTATAAAAAGAAATTAAGTAAAAATCATATTTATCATATTAACATAATAACGCTAATATTTAATTGGTTAAAATAGGTTAACACAGTATTTAAGGTTTTCAAGTAAAAGTGATCCTCCTTATTAGCTATAAATAAAACATTTAAATCACACTTAACCAAGTTTTTTTAAACTTATTTATAATTATAAATAAATAAATAATATCCTTAATTATTATTATTTATTATTAATCAAATAACCATTTTCTAACATAATAAGGTGAGATACATTATCAATGATTCAAAACATGTTAGCCAACAGTCAAAAAATTTTAAAATATGTTCGTTATTTTTGTTAAATGATTGTATCTTTTCAAATTACAAATTTTGCAAATTTTAAATTTAGTTTCCTAAGTTAACATATGCTTATAACCAGCATTTATAAATCTCAGAGTTTTAATAACGATTTCAATATTTTAAACTAATTGATATTTGAAATAAAAGTACTAAAACAAAAATAAGTTTTGCAAATATAAAAAGTTTCTTGCAGAAATTGAGTAAGTTTCCTAAAAAAAAAAAAAATTCCTATTGAAATAGAATTTTTACACAATTTGTTGCTTTCTTAGATATTTAAATAAATATTGCTAACTCACATAATGAAACGAGTCTCAATTATAGTAACCCTTTTAAAGCATTTTTTTCTTCCTTTTTTGTTCTAAAATTTTTAGTTTATTTTTATTCAGATCTCCCTTTTTAAAATAATTAGAAAGTCTTTTTAACTATCAATAAGAAAATACTTGTCTATTAGTATTCAATTTTATGAATTAACATTTCGAATTCAAGTTCATTTAATGTCAATCGTAAATGGAAAATATTGTTGGCCATTTATAGTTATTAGTGCAATAAGTTTTTATATTTTGATGACAATAAAAATCTCTAAAATTGCCTATATGTAAAATATTTAGTATATTTTGCAACAGATATCATGAAATTTATATTACTTCATAAAGTCTACTGGATTTTTTCCTATTCATGTTGGCAGCTATGTATGAACTATAAAAAAAGGGAAATCGAACCCTTGGCGATATTTATTGAATGATAATAAATCCTTCTTTCAGCTGTTCGATATGGTCGTGTTCCGAAGAGGACGAGAGAACGTATGGAAGAGAGCAGAGTGACCCAATCTGAAGCTGACCAGTCTATTAGGGATATCGAAAGCAAGGAACTAGCCATGTACGATATGACACTGACCATTGCACAAGCTTATCACTCCAATTGCGATTATTCTGAATTAAAGACGAGGGGACTCGTGAGGAAACCTGCAATATTTGTAAGTATCCTTTTTCATAATCTTTATATCTATAAAGATTAGTTTTATAATCTTTATATCTATATAAGTATCTTTACAAAAATTTTAATAAATGAAAAGATCAAATAAAAGAAAAAAAATTATCAGATTTTTTTTTAATTTACTTTTTTTTTTGCTTGTAACTGATGAAAATTAATGTAGGTGATGTTAAAAAATTGTTCTTACTTAAATTGTGCTAAAACAAAGACATTTTTTTAAAGATTTATTTACAAGCAAAAGTATAATACCAGTTATTTGTTTACTTATCAAAAATTCTACGTTTTCCCTTTCCCTTCACACTCCTTTGATAGTACCGAAAAAGAGCCTTCTGGTGCAAGTAATTAAATCGAATCACTAATTATTTTTTAGAAAAAATAATTGATGTAAATAACTATTATAGGTATACTCGATTTTGTAAAAAGTTTTTCACATTATAGACTGTATATTTCCACTTAAGTTTCAACTTTCTTTTCAACTGAGATAGGTGTCTTTTTTTCTAGAACAAGTAATGAAAGTGAATCACTAATTCTTTTTCAAAGCAAATAATTAATGCAAATCCCTGTTAGGTCTTTTTCTTAGAGCGAGTAATTAATACAAAAGACATAAATAATTTTTAGAGGAAGTAATTAATGCTATTCACTAGTAGGTCTATTTCCTGGTGTAAAACATTAATGCTCTAATAGGTCTATCATATCACTAATAGGTCTTTTATTTAAATCAAAAAATTAATGGAAATCACTAAGGTCTTTCATGAGCAAATGCCTGGTGTATAATCCCTAATAGGAAGTGTTTTTTTTTTTAATTTTTGGATCAAATTATGAAACTCACTAACAAGTCTTCTTCCAAGAGAAAATGATTGACGCCTTCACAAACAGGTCTTTTTTTAATTAAATAATCAATCTAAATCACTAACAGGTCTTATTCCAAGAGTAAATGCATTATCACAAATAGGTCTTTTTCTTCTTCGTTTGGATCAAATAATTAATGTAAATCACTGACAGGTCTTCTTTCAAGAGCAAATTGCTGTTGCATATTTACTAACAAGTCTTCTTCCAAGATCAAATTGCTGTTGCATATTTACTAACAGGTCTTCTTCCAAGATCAAACTGTTGTTGCATATTTACTAACAGGTCTTCCAAGAGCAAATTATTGACGTATAAACACTAATCTTTTTTTTTTGGATCAAATAATCAATGTAAATCACTAACAGGTCTTAATCCAAGAGCAAATGATTGATGCATAAAAAATAATAGGTCTTTTCTTTGGATCAAATAATTAATGCAAATCACCAACAGGTTTTCTTCCAAGAGCAAATTGCTGATGTATAATTACTAACGGGTCTTCAGAGAGCAAATTATTGATACATAAACTCTAATAGGTTTTTTTTGGATCAAATAATCATTGTAAATCACTAACAGATTTTATTCCAAAAGCAAATGACTGATGCGTCTTTTTTAGAGCAGGTCTTAAAATGACTTCTTTGTGTTGTAGAGTCTCGACGAGTTCCACACAGGCAATGGGAATGATGGCCAGACACAAATAGCCTTGCCAGACAGCCTGGAGCATCAGAAGATCATTATGTGGCAACATTTTGCGGCTGCTCTCACACCTTCCATTCAGAGGCAGGTGGAATTCGCCAAGAAAGTGCCCAGTTTCCTAAGCCTAACTCAGGACGACCAACTAAGACTTATCAAGAAGGGATTCTTCGAGATCTGGGTGGTGCATGCATCTAGGCTAATCGCAGACAATACCATCACTTTCTCGGACGGCACCTACATCACTCGACAACAAGTTGAACTGATGTTTGATGTAATTTTCATTCTATTTCATATTTGAATTATTTATAGTTTGGTGTGCACTTTAATCACGAATACTACGGTGGTTCTATTATTTCTACTATGGACTTACGTTCCTTCTTATTTATATAAAAAAAAATTTTATGTTTCATAAAAAAATTACAGTGTGAGTAAAATTACAGTAATTTATTTTCATTTCAAAATTTAATAAGAAAATAAGAAAGCACCAGGTACCATATTATTCAAACTTCTGAATTCCGCTGGTAAATTCATATCTATTAAAAACATAAATTCACCAATACCCATCATATACGTTCTTACTGAAACTTTTTTATGTAAGTTTATTCTAAATCTAAAATTCAGATTCCCCAATACCCATCATGTACGTTCTTACTGAGACATTTTTAAGTAAGTTTATTCTAAATCTAAAATTCAGATTCCCCAATATCCATCATATACGTTCTTACTGAGACTTTTTTATGTAAGTTTATTCTAAATCTAAACTCTAGATTCACCTATACCCTTCATATACGTTCTTACTGAGGCTTTTTATTTATTGTATAATGTAAGCTCATTCTGAATCTAAACTCTAGATTCATCAATACCTATCATAAGTTCTTTCAAAGGTTTTTTACTTATTACTTGATGAAAGTTAATTCCGAAAGAAAAATTGTTGATTCTACATAACATTACATAATTCTGCATAAGCTTCTACATTCCATGATTCTACATAAATTTCTATATTAAATGATTCTACATAAGTTTTTCTGAGACTTTCCACTTGTTGCATAATGTAAGGTCTTTCAGAATCTACATTCACCATTGTTTGTCTCATGATGATTCAGACGCAAAATGCTCTACTTAATTTCAAATATTTATTTATTATAATGAAAGCTCTAAATTTGTTGACGTGAACTTTAGATGTAAGATATTACAATGTTCGAAGTTAACACTTGAAGAAATTTTAGTTATCAATATATCAAATATCGATACTACTCAGTTTATTGCATGCATTATTTTTATTGCGTAATGTTTTTTTTTAATTGATGTTTCCATATGTACCTGCAGAAACTTTCTACTTAATATAAGTTTATTCTGAATCTAAAATCTAGATAAACCATTTTTTGTCATAAGTTCTTTTAGAGACAGGAATTTCGTCTAAATTTCAAATATAAGTAGAAAGATAACATAAGTCTGTGTGTTACGAATTGTAAATGATAACTCTATGTTCTAAGCTAACTTTTTTTTGAAATTTTTCCTAAGTTTAAAATATAAATACCATGTAATTTATTTCATGTATGAAATGTTTTATTCTTATTGTAAAATGTAAGTTCATTCTGAATGGAAAAATTAAATTCTTCTTTGTTCATCATTAACATTCTTCGAACACGTTTTCGTCAAATTTCTATTCTAGATGCATAATTTATTGCATTATGTAATTTTATTTCTCGTGTCGTCCGCTTAAACCTTTTGCTGTTGATTGTCTGCTTACTGTCACCAGTCGCTGATGGTTAAATTAATTGAATCATCTGACAAGTCTTGAGAATAGGCTCTTTTTTTTGAGAGCTCAAAGCATGTCGACTTTTGCCATCATATTTTTTTAATCAAATGAAGTTGTTACATTATCAAGGGTTAAATTAATGCTTAAAGTAAACACTTTAAAATAATATATATCTCAAATTTCGTGTAGAAAAGCGCAATTTTTTTGTTAAAAATTTTCCATTATTATTGCTTAGTTTAGTAATTTTATCCAGAATATAGAATGCAAATTTTTTGCTCTTCATCATAAATTCCTATAATCATTTCCAAATCATAATTTAACTCTACTTGTTTCCGTTGATACACAATTTATTACTTCGCTTAATTTCTCCCTAAGTTCACGTGTCTTGAATCCCTGCAGATTTTCCTCAGAATTACATTAATGAATATTCTTTATAAAATTTTTTAAAAAAAATTCTTTCTGGGCGTTCTTTACTATAACTGCAAGTACTTCGATTGAAAGATTTATTTGCGTGAAATTTAAATCTTTTCTCATTAGCCCCTTCCTTCTCGCTCCCGTGAAAATGACGGGGTGAGATTTCGCCCTCTATTTCTCGCTCCCGTGATATTGACGGGCAGGAGTGTTCAGTAGTAACGCGCCAATAAGAATAAAACTAAATCATTTCTTTTGCCCGGAAAACGTCTTATTTCTCATTTTACACACAAGATGACAGTACCAGGATATTTTAAAGGTAATTGTAGATAGTTAGTTTGTTTTAAACTGGTTGCAGCACTAATCAAATACATAATACAAATATAAAAGCCAAAAAAATAGACACTTTTATGACCATTTTCTTAAAAATTAGCCGATCGTTAAGGGGTTAAGGTAACTTAAAGCCATTTTCTTTTCGTTTATTTCAAATTATCATTGCAAAGTTCTTTTTATCTCTTTACAGTACGAGTTTGCTTTGTCTCTGTTCAACTTCATGACGTCACTCAATAGCCTAGAACTAAGTGACTCCGAGATTGCTCTTTTTTCTGCAATAGTACTACTTACATCAGGTAAGTATTACTTCAACTCAATTTCACTTTGGATCTCTGGACATTGTTTACTTTATTATGCACGATTTAACACGTTACGGCTATTGAAGTAGTTTTATTAATTACTTACATATACTAATAGAAGCACTTAAATATTTCCCTAAGAAATGCTTTATCTTAATCATCTACTACAATCTTCCATTTTCTTTGAATTTATAATAGGCGTAACGGTAAAAGTTTTAATCCCTACCTTCAGGGCATGTTTTCATTTCTCAAAATCAGTAGCTAAAAAATACTAGTAGCAAAATCAGGATTCATACAAACAATTTTTAATGCGGTGTCGCAATGCGTTTTCTGGTGCAGAAAATTCAGCATAATCTGTGTGACTTATTGCAATGAAACCATCATTGAATAGAAAATATTAAATATTTATACTTGTGTGGAAGTTTAAATACTCAAACGCGCAATTCAGAATATTGTATTTAAATATCGAGGTTTTAAAAACGATGTGGAAATTGCCGGGCCGAAAGTAAAGTAACTCCAGAAAATGATTAGAAACGATTACGACGGTATATAGTTACAAAATAAGCGCGTTAAAAAATGATAAGACTAATTTTAAATTCACGTGTTCATAAACATCATGTTCAAAATATCATTATTTGAAAAACCATGTGTAGAAAACAGTAAGAACAAAAAATAACTGCAAAAAAAAATTGTTAGAAAATGACATAGATCATCGGTTCCCAATTTCTTTCGTCTGTGGAACCCTAAATAATTAACCATTTCTTTTTTTGACGGAACCCCCATATTACAAATAAAGTTAAAGTAATTGTAAACGTTATTATAACCTATAAATATATATTTAAAATATTTAATTAGATGTATGAAGATTTTTCATCGTTTAATCTTTAATAATTTTAAATTATATTTTATGTCTGACAGTTAAATTTATAGTCCTTGTGCTATGTCTAGTCTGAGTTTGTTTTAGGTTTATATGCATAAGCTGAAAATAAATAAAATAAGCAGAATTATGGTTTTCTTCGAAATAAAACTTAAAAGAACTACTATAAAGGGTGAAGATGGCTATTAAGGAAACATATTTCTTAATTAAAAAATTATGTTATTTCATTTTGATTTGAAAAGCGCGATGAGGAATATTAAAGCAATTTTTTACAATTGCGTGCTCATTTCTAAGTTAATTTAATTATGTATAATGTTATTCGATATATTATATTTTCGTTCAAAAAATTCCATTTCTATTTCATTGGCATTTTACTTGAAATAATTTCATAAAGGCAACCGAAAGATTAAATAAATTATGAATAACTGGTTGGATCTAAATATAATGAAAGGATTCAAAACTAATCTGTAATTATAAAAAGTACTAACCCACGAAACGGGTCTAACTCTTTCACGGAACCCTAGTGTTCCTTTGAACATCGTTTGGGAATCGCTGACGTAGATAAACCATGGAATTAGTCGCCAATAAAGAGAGTCAAAAAGTGATTACTTAATTTCGAAATTCAAGTATTGAAACATCGTATTAAAAAATCGACATTTAAAAAACCATGTTGAATTGGCATAAAAATGATTCTGAGAAACAATCTAAAAATCGATAACGGGATAGTTACAAATTAAGTAGGCCAGAAAATTTTAACTCAAATTTCTATATTCACGTGTCTTATTAATATTGTATTAAGAATATCGGAATTTGGCTGACCATGTCAATAATGCCGTAAAGACAAAAAATAGCTTAAATAACTGCTTAGAAAACGATTAGAAAATTGACGACAGAATTAACGTGAATTAACGACAGAATAGCTATGAATCAGACGCATCAAAAAGTGATTACTCAAATTCGAACTTCGGGAGTCGCAATATTATCGTATTAAAAATACCGAAGTTGGAAAAATCATGTGGAAATGATCGAAAAATAGCTAATAATAATTATCCATTCATTTTCCGATCCTTTTATCTACAAATAAATATCGAAAAATTTACGTGTTTCAAGTTGCAAAGATTTTAAACGGTTTTAACTCACAATAGTTCAAATCCTTCGTTTTGCAATGATATAAAGCCAAAATTTTTTAAACGTTACAATTCGTAAAGATTAAAATATTCACAAAGAAAAATACTAAATACTCACGTTATGTGCTTCAACCTCTAAAAATTTAAACAGTTAATTCTCAAGGATTTAAATGCCACAATTCGTAAACTAAACTCTTCAAGAACAAAAGATTTAATAGCTGACTTTCAAACATTTAAATGCTCTCATTTTATTTTATAATCATCTTTGAACAGTGACGCGATTTTAGGGTATACGACTACACATTTGCGTTACAGGGAGATGAAAACCACGAAAACTTCTCACGGTTAGCCTGACGGCAGGAGGACTCTAACCCATGATCCGTCTACCACTGAGGATGTTTTACATCAGCACTGTTGTCGGTGCAAGCCGGATGCGGAATTTATATCGACTGGGATTTGAACCCGGTTCGCCTCATTGGAAGGCGAACGCTCTATCCCCTGATCCATTGCAGCTCAAATGCTCCTATTTGCAATAATTTAATTGCTGTACTTTTGAATAATTCGAACGCCATTCTTTTCAATGATTTGGAATGACAAAATTTTATATTTAACGATATCAATGTATATCAATGTCCAAAGATTTAAAATGTTAACTTGCGAAGATTTAAGATCTTCATTTATCACAGTATTTTTAACGAGCAATTTTCTTCTATTTCAGAGCGATCGAATGTCGATAATTACAAGATGATAGACCAGATGCAAGAGAAAGTCACGGAGGCTCTGAAAATCCAGGTTGCAAAAAGCCACCCTGGAGAACCGAACACCTTTCCCATGCTCATGATGAAGTTGCCGGAGTTGAGATCACTTGGCGCAAAGCACGAAGAACACCTCAATTGGTTCAGGGTGAATTTAAATTTTGAACTCGTCAAGATACCGCCACTCTTTGCTGAGGCGCATGACATGAACCAGCCACCACACCAGCAAATGAGATACGAACAGCAATAATTATAACAGTGTAAGTGGAGGCCAATTGCCACCTATATGTTTTAAAATGATATGACGCTAATCATGAAAATGGCGCTTGCGACATTGCCATGACGTTTGTGGCTTAATTTGTCTGTTTAGGTCAGGGATGAGCAAACTTTTTTGGTCGCGGGCAAAAAATCGAGAAAAATTTTTTTTTGGTGGGCCAAGTGAAAACTTCAAAATTTAAAAAAAAAAAAAAAAAAAAAAANCTCGGAACACGAAATAAATATTTAATGAGATGAATGAAATTGCGATTTCATTTTCAAAAGTTCCCTATATTGAGGTTCGATGTGAGATGTGCTTATTTTAAGGAACGAGGCTAAATGCTTGTCTGTTAATCTACTTCTGAAATAATTTTTTCTGAAATAATTGTTTCATAGTTGAAAACTCTTGTTAACATAAGATTAAGCAAACATAGCACTGATTTTCTAGGCATGAAATATTAAATTTTGGAAACTAGCTTTTGGTAACGATTTGTAAAACTCAAACTTTGACATATTTAGAAACAACTGCTTCAGATGATTGTTAGATTGTGCGCTCGTTGGAGCTTAAAATGCGCAGTCTGTCACATGTGAAGTACAATTCACCTACATATTAGATTCCATAAGTCTGCTCCTCGAGAAAGACAAACGCTAGTTGGAGTCAATCTACGGCTATTCTATAAAGAACTTCTACTTTCAACATTTTACCAATTGAAGCTGTCTGTGCTAACTATTTCCATCAATTTATGTTTTGTAGAACAAAAATAGAGAAAGTAAAAAGGTCATCAGTATTTTGTTAAAAAAGAAAGAACAGAAATAGCTTTAAACACAGTCGACAAGAAATTGGATGTATATTGTTTATATGTTTATATTTGCCACGGATCGGCAAGCTAAAATTCTATCCGCGGGCCGGATAAAATCTTCCGGCGGGCCGGATAAAATCTTTCGGCGGGCCACAGTTTGCCCATCTCTGGTTTAGGTGGTAAAATTTCGCCAAATTGGCGATTTAAAAAAATCACCTTTTAAAATATTTATGTTATTTGTTCGTTTTAAAATCTCATTATTCCACTCGAATACGAAAAGAAAGGGAAAATAATGCGAAATCTGACATAAAATCTAAATCTTAATATGCACCAAACAATTTTTAGTGGATTTTAACTGAGCAACCAACTACTTGAAGATTTTTAATCGAACATTTATTTTCAAAATTGCATACTTCCATATCTTGAGTATAATAAGCATTGTTTCTTCCATGAATTTTTATTCCTTGATAAAAAATTTTTTTATACAATGCGCTAAAAAAAAAAAAAAAAAAAAAAAAAAAAAAAAAAAAAAAAAAAAAAAAAAAAAAANAAAAAAAAAAACAGACACCCTAAACAATAGTACTCAAAAATATTGGATTTTTAAATCTTCAGATTTTAATTTAATAATGGTTTAAAAGTCCCACTAACGACATACTAATTAAAAATCGTAGCTTACGGTGCCTACTTACGACAGGCTAATTAATAATTATGGCTTAAAGGGCCCATTTTGGCATACTAAATAATAATCATAGATTAAACTTGATTTAAATAAATTTTTACGTTTGATAGATTAAAATGCAAAACCTGCCTTATAAACGTTCTCTCTCTCTCTCTCTCTCTATTTCATTCTTCTTTTTTTGTATATATGAATATACTACAATATAAATGGTGTAGTACCTTTTTTAGTTTAAATGTAATTTTTTTTTTTTTTACTTCTGGCATATCTCGTCACGTTGCCATTGAATAAAAAATTCATTGCATTCATTTATGAAATTTGCTTACTCTAGAAAAATTTCATTGAAAAAAGTTATGATTATTCATATTTTTAATTAATTCATACAAATGTTTTCATGATCATTAATTATGTAGTTTTAGATGACAAAATCTCAAATATGAAAGAATCCAAAATGTGTTGATTAATTTAAAAACAAAATCCCAGTAAAAGACTTTGCTAAGCTTTTTATATCTTAAAAATTATTTAACCCATTTTGTCCAAGTTCTATATTTAATTATTTAAGCTTATATTTTTTAAGAAAATGTTTAGGTTTTTTATCTTGCGCGCTAACCGTTTTTAGTTATTGCTATTAAATTAAAAAAAATGAAGAAAAATAAATATTCAAAGTTTTAAGAATGGAAAACTACGCTGGAAAATAAACAGCCATAAGGAACAAAACTAAAATTTCAAATAGATTAAAATATAATACAGATTTCTCAATAGAGATTAGCTTTTGATTTAATGTTCTCATTTGCTTTACATAGATTCTTTACATAGAGGTATTATATTTTTATTGCTTTACATAGATTCCTGGTGCACATGCACTAAAATTTTAATTGACACGTTTTAGAATTTATAGAAAAATTATTTTGGATTAATATTACTTAAAGGCATAGTAATTTTCTAGTATAAATTAATACAAGTTTTAATGAATTCAAGATTGTTTTAAATATATTATTTGTTGTTAAACGTCTTTCTGCTTTGTGTAAATGCATAATATTTTCCTAGTACAAATACAAAACTGTTATTAACGTATTTGTATTTCAGTTTTATTAAGAGATTTTGTGTGATTAAATATCCTTATTACTTTACCACTACGTAATAGCCGTAATTCGCATTTTTTAGATTTATTAAGTGCTATTATAATTTGATGAAACATTTTTATTGCTTTACATTGCTACATTATAATTTGGAGTTAGAAATACATAATAGCTTTAATTAGCATATTTAAGATTTCTAAAGACACAGTTTACAGTTTTTGAATTATTTCTTTACATTTGGTATACTTTTTTTTTCTCGTACCAATACACAAAAACAAGCTTTGATTTACAACAGTTAGTATATTTTCATCTAACGTTCTTATTGCTTTACATTTATTTTCCTGGTTCAAAAACACAAAAGTTTTTATTGACTTATTGATTCTATTGATATTGCCTATTAATTGGCAAGAGCTATTATAATTTTATTAATTGTTCTTATTGCTTTACATACATTTTCCTGGTACAAACACACAAAAGCTTTTATTGACTTATTGTTTTTATTGACTATTGATTGACAAGAGCTATTATATTTTTATTAAATGTCCTTATTGCTTTACATATATTTTCCTGGTACAAATACACAAAAGCTTTTATTGACTTATTCCAGATTTCTTACGTCGAAAGAAGCTGTCTTCAAGATGTTTTTCTGCAGCACTATGGAGAAAAGGACTCTATAAAAGAAAAAAAATAATGGAAGAAATCTGTTGTACTAAAAATGAAAGAAAAAAACGATAAATTCAATTACAAAAACTAGAGACTGGACTAAAATTTGTTGACGATTAAAAGCGTAATAAGCCCATGCATATTTGTTCTCAAGTAATTATTGGCTTTACTTTATTGAATTTTGTTAGTCTTCAGGACCAATATTTTGTTAGTATTTATTTTATTCATTGCTATATGTTTTACCACCTTTACAAGATTGTGTTTGGTGATTGTTCATTATAGACATCATTTTTTTGTCTGTCCTTAACAAGAAAAGATTTGCAAAGGACGCTTAGGTAATATAATTTATGCTCCATTTGCTTGTGTAAGGCTTTTATGTCATCGTTTAAAATCGTCTGCTTTGTGGTACTAATCAATACATTTATCATTTGATTTTATAATAATTTTAAGAATTGTTCCTTCACCAATTTTAAATGATTTCAAATTGTTTTACTATGAATAAATTAATATCATGACATAAAATCAGTATTCATATTATTTTTTGAAAACGAAAGTTTTTTTTTTTTTTACCAATTAATGTTGGAATTAAACTGATTCAAGTGGATGATTAAAGTCTTCTTTTTTTTAAAATCAGTAATCGTCTGCTTTTATTTAAAAGTCGTTTGTTGATCAATTATAGATTTAACAATTCTTATTCACATGAATGTTTAAATTTCGTTTGGATATATTTTATAAAATCATTGCATCGCTGTGCATTTAATGTTTATTTATTTACTTGTTAGTTAATGGGTACCCTACCTCATTCCTTTGTTTACAAACGTTTCCGTCCTTTAATGTTCATTTTATAAATGTAATTTCGTTTACGATTCGTCCCACATTTATGTCTCATTCATGCGTCCTTTGTAATTCTTAGTAAAACTAAAAAATGGTGTTAAGTTAATATTTTTGCTTGCTTTTTTTCATTTTTGAATTGTTGATAAAATCTCATTAATACAATAGTTTATTTTAATATGCAAATACTACTATATATAATCGATTCATTTTATTATACAGTTAAAAAACTTCTTATAAATTCGTTTATTTTAAATGAATTTCAATCAACAGCATTCCAATTGTTTCTGTAAAAATGGTTTTTAAAAATGATACTTAATTATAAAACACATCTTATAGTTACGAATTGAATTTTAATTTGTTTTTATAAATTTTTTCTACTTGTTAAAATATTTCTAGTTATAAAATTTATTGATATTGGGAATTATGCTGTTCTCTGTAACCAAGCAATATATATTTTCTTATAAAAATTACCATTTTTAACGACAGTTGTAATTGTCTCATTTCAACTTGTTAAAAAGCTTATTGATGTGAAATTAAGATTGATTTACTTGTTATAATCATCAATATTAGTTTTAAAAAAAAAGAAAAACAAAAAATGTTTAATTGTGGGCTACAGAACTTTTGCATTTATAACTTTGTTCGGAAAAAAAAAGTTTAAAATTATGAACTTTTTTGGAGGAAAAAAAATCTTTTTGCTTGAAAAAAAATATTCAAAATCGTAAATCATGAAAAAACAAGAGCTGTTTATTTTTTTTAAAAGTGTCAGTAAAAAATAATTTTTTTATAAAAATCCTCTCTTGCTCAAGTTTACTTACTCATTTATTATATACAATTGACACAAGTTAATGTTTTAATAGAAGAAAAATAGATTATAGTCACAGCTTGCTGAATTACAAATTAAATTATTACTAGAAGAAATCATGATTATTTTTTTATAGATTTTTATACTTTCTACTAACTACAGTAAACTCTGTCAAAGACGAGCGCTGTTATGAAATAGAATTTTGCCAACAGCAGAAAATTTTTAGGATCTGGCACACTCTATTATAAATAACATTAATTTAATTAATATAATCTAAAATCTGTTTAAGAGATACATATTTAATTATTTCCATTTTAAATAACTTTACTTAATTATAATTATAATAATTTTTTAATTATAACAATTAAAATTATAAAAACTAAAATTAAAATTATAAAAACTAAAATTAAAATTATAACTATTAAAACCATAATAATTAAAATTATAATAATTAAAACTATAATAATTAAAATTATAATAATTATTATAACTATAGAATTATAATAATTATTATAACTATAGAATTATAATATTTAAAAACTTTAAAGTTTTTAATTCTTATCTCCAAAACTAAAGTGAAAAACACACAATTGCTTACATAAATAATATTTCCCTATCAAAAAAAGTCCAATCATAATAAACAATAAGCTATAGAAAAATTTGTTGTAAATAGAAAATAGAACCAAATTTAGATTAAAAATTTAATTTCTTAAATTAAAATAGATTTAAGACAACACAGTAATAAAATACACTTTAAATTGTATAAATTGTATTCAAACATTTAATTCAGTAATAGGAAAAGTTGTAATTAGTCTTTCTTTTAAAGTTTTATTTTATAATTGTTTAAATGTTAAGGAATTTTTTAAAAAAAATGTGAAATTGTGTAAAACTGTTTAAAACGGAATTTTCGCTCAGCATTGAATAGATTCTGTCTTAGAGAAAGTTTACTGAAATTGGTTAAAATTTAGCTTTGCATTGCAGTTAACTGTATTCTTGCTACAATTATTAAGCAGCGAGAAGAAAAAACTCATAATTATTCTTGCTACAAATATAAATAGTATCATACTTCATATCAAGAGTCCGTTTTAAACCTCATTTCATTCCTTTTGTAGTTTATATGTTAATCATTCAATGTTCATGGTGTATGTTGGTAATGTATATTTTTTCTTAAAATTTTAAGCATTTTCGTACATTGTATCATGTTTATGATATTAGAATCATGCCAGTGTTGTCAGTTTATATGATTAGGAAATGTTTTTTTTTTCCTTTTCGGATGGATTAAAATTGATGAAGAAAGCAGCAGATTTATTATCAAGCACTAGGTTACAATTAAGATTTTGCGGATTTATTGTCCAATAATTGGCTAAAATTGGCGGATTTATTATCATGAAATAAGTAATCTTAGAGAAATATTAAGTAATAGGTTAAAATCGATATTAGGACGGATTTGTTATATTTATTATCAAATAATGGCTTAAAATCAAGGTATTGCCAAATTTATATTCGCGCTATTAAGATATTGACAAATTAATTTTCAAATAATAGGTTAAAATTGAGTTATTGGCAGACTTACTATGGAATAATGATGGAATGAAATTAAGATTTTGACGGTTTATAATAAAGCATTGTTAACTTTTTGTAAAAGGATCATGCTTAAAAAAGGGATAATAAATTATCGAAAAGAATTAATTATAGTAATTAATTGTTTTCCAAGGTACAAAGCATTTCAAGTTTTCGGTCTAGTTTTTAATGTTTTTTCTTTAAACATAATATGATATTTTTTTTAATTTTCAAAAATGTTTCAACAAAAAATAATTTAATTTAAAAAAAAATTTAACCACTATTTTGGAAACGATCTTTTTTGTTTGAAGTATTGGGTTTTATTCAAATATTTTCCTTGATTTATATAAAATGTAAAATTAATCACTTCATTTTGAAAAAATTGAACACATTTATCCAATCCTAATATACTTTTCCAACTTTATTTTTTACACAAAATCAACAACATTAACAAGCACTTTAGTTTTTTTTTTGTATCAAAATAATAATAATAAACCATGTAATAGAGAAATGGTTTGTTTTAAAACCAGTTCTATTCATGATGTTATTTTTTAATAATTTATATGAAATTTAATCAATTCTACGTAACTTACAGAAATTTTAAATCTTGTGAACAATATGTTTTTTCTTCCCTATCTATAATACAAAATTCATGAAAATTGACCTAATTTGTTTTTAAATCAAACTTCTCCTTTTTTTCTCTCTTTTTTTATTTTAAGTGCAATGTAAAACTGTAATTAAGTGTGGAAAAAAAAAAGAGTTTCGTTCCAAACAATATTATTGATAAATGCGGCTTGGTCTTAATATCGTGAAGCAAATATTACCTTAATATCATCTTAAGCATTTCTCATGTTCTTTCGCTGATCAATGTGTGTACGTAAGTTTTGTTATACTTCATACTAATACTTGGATGTTATATCACATACTTCAAACTATGCAAACTCTCACAGAAGAATTTCCCATCTGTGAATGTGCTATGATTCTGCAACATCATATTTTACACGTGATAGTTTTTTTTATTTTGTAACTAATTATAAAATGATGTGCATGCATTTCAGTATTTGAATGAAATTAAAAACTCATCTCGAATTAAAATCTAAGAAAAAAATGTTTAAATTAGATATTTCTTTAATTATTAATCTATACAATGATGTAGTTTTAAGTAACGAAATGGTGTAAGAAATAATGTCAAAAAAATATTATTGAAGAATTATATATATTTATATGTACTTTTTATTGAAAATGCTTAATTATTTACATTTATGCTTATTTTGGCATGAAATATGTACCCACACTACTAAATTTTTTTCTTCATAAGTTTGCCAAAATAAGCATAACATTTACAAATACACTATTGTTCACTATGTAACATTTTCTTGAGTTATATTTCATTATTCTAACAAGAAATTTGATACAGAATTTAAAAAACTTTTAATTTTCTAGCTTTTAAACGATATCGTTATATGCTGTTGTTACTACTTAAATTGTTAGTTATTCAATTCTAATAAGTTTCAAAAATATTGAAATGTTCAAGTTATTACTTATTTACATTTTGTCGTTTCAATAAAATATTATGTTACTGTCTATTGTTAAACCAATACTTTATAGACTGTGTTTTAGAGAAAAAAAAATGTTTTACTACATCTGAAATTCATGTACTTATTTAGAAAATGGTATGTATATTTCAAACATTTTTATCTTCAGATGATCAAAATTTTTTAAAAAAAATGTAAAATTTAGTATAACTATTAACTGATAACTGACAATGTCATGCATAGAATTATATTGTATACGTTTTTAAACATTTTATCTCTTTAAATATAATTTATCAACTTTGAAGTTAACTTGTTTAAAAATTTTAATCTTAAAGCGTGAATATATAAATTTGTATTTCATGCTCTAGTTTCATGTAAATGTATTTTTAAAAAAAATTTAAACTGGATAAAAAAAAAAACTTACTTAACAGAAACTGCTACTTTAATCTTTGAGCTACTGAGCATTTTTCAAAATGTAGAAATATAGAATAGATTTTACAAATGTACTTAAAAATATTGATTTATTATTATTTTTTTCCCTTCTGAACTTTAGTAGTAAATTGAATTAAATTACTCGATTTTAATTTATTCCTTTTTCAAGCTTATAAACATGATTTTTTTCGTTAATAGTAATTATGTATATGGAAAATTGAAATGGGAATGATAAAATATCATTTAGCTTTCAAATGTAAAAATTTGTTGATTCTGCTCTCTTGTAAATACATAGTTAATAAAAAATAAAATTTAGATTTTATAATTTTAAAAATCTGAAAATTGCATTCATGTAATTAGGTCACCGTAATATTACAGGCTTCTAAACCCGTTAAAATGTACGTGTTTTTCTTTCTAATTTTGAGCTAGGAGCTTACAAGTGAAAATTTTAAAACTACCGAATTAACTAATGACATTTATTTTTAAATTAAATCATTCGATTTCCAATAAAAACATGAAATTAAAAATAATCATCACTTTTGTACATGTAAAAACGTTAGTAAATTTTTTAAACGAAAATCACTAATAAAGATTTATTACTTAAAGTATTTCAAGCAAAATTAGGCTTTTTCAATTTAGAAATTTCTAGCTATTAAGTTAAAGCTTTAATATACAGTCAGTGAAAGAAAGCATACTTTCATATAGAACTAAATATTATGAACTTTGCTTAGTACTTTGTAAATGTATAAATATATTAGAATTTAGGCCTATTTCTGCGCTTTATTTAGATGTGCGCTTTCTGTTAAATTTGAGAAAACATACACGTGTTAATTGATATGCTTGCGAAGCATTTTATTTGTTAATTAATTTTAGCTTAAAGCGTGATGGCTTTTAATGTTGGTTGAAGAAAAAAAGGCTTGAGTGGCTTTTTCTGGTTAGGTGTTCAGAAATGTTATACCCATATTTATGAATATGGAACTGTTTACTATTTCGTAACATAGAATGTTGTTATCTGAAAAAGAAAAGGTGGAAATGTTTCCGTATTAAATTGTTCGTTGCTGATTCAAAATTTTAAGTTTTTATTTACTCTTTCTAATTTTGAAACATTGAACGTTTCATGAACTAGGGTTAGAAAAAACAGAAAAGTACAAAAATGATTTTGTTGTGTTATTCGACGTCACTGATTCAAATAGACATTGTTTAATACAAAATTTTTGATTTCGATTCAAAATTTTATCGACGTTTAAAATTTAGTGACACTGAATATTGTTATTAAAATAAAATGACGGGGGAAAATGGAAATTGAATATTAACCACATTAAATAGTTCGTCGTTGAGTTAAAATTTTAATATTGATTAAACAGTTATAGCTTGTTGTTATTTAATATTTTTGAACCATTTAAATTATTCGCATTACTGAATCTATCATATTTATTGTCTAGTTATTCATATTTTAATGAATTTGTTAGAAATTTCAAAATTAGAAGTATTTTGATGGACTTGTTTTATGCTGTAGATTAAAATTTTTTACATTGTTATTACCTTATAAAACAAAAGGATTGCATTTAACTTTTAAACTGCTATTAGATACAAAAAAATAGTATCGTTTAAATATATTTTTATCCACTTTTTTATGTAATTTGTAGATATTCTGCGTTGAAATCATCACAAAATATGAATTATATCCCCATGTCGCTTTTAAGCTCTTTTCTTGTATATAATAAGTACAAATATGGAAAGAAAATTTGTTTTAATATTTAAATAGTTAGTATTTTAACCAATTCCGATTCTAAATAATTG